TTGTTAAAAAATAAACTACATCCGACTTTGTTGCACCTGTAGCAGAACTTTAGTCCTTTGTTCTCCAGATTCAGTTCAGAACATTCTGTATTTCCATTTCAGCAACAACAAGAGGCAGGCTGAATAATCTAAAAAATCTGTTTCAAAAAATTATTTAATGGATGCTCGCTGTGCCAGTGCGCCATCTTTCTGAACACCTTTACCCAAGGCGCTGTGTCACTATCGCCCCCTGCTGGCAGAACATCATCTGCACTGGAAACACCTCCCCCCCCCACTCCCCAAAAAACACACAATCAAAGAGTGTGCAGTGGACCGTGTTCAAGTAATACAAAATCTCTCAGTTGCAGATTATTGTGCAGATTGCAATTTGCAGCAGCAGCCACGCCGCAGCGTGAAAGGGAGAGTAAATGTTGAATCAGGTAATTAATAAATAAATGCCAGTGCAGAGCAGCCGCTTCGACGCGAAGCATAGTGCTGCACTTCGGGTGCTCCACCTGGCTGCTTTATCTGGATTCCAGTCCACGCTGCTGTAACCCTTCAAGCTCAGGATTCCTGGTTCCCGTGGGAACCAGGTGGTAGAACTGCTGCGGGGCATCTAGCTTTTTCATCGTCATGAAAATGGTGCACTGCAAATCAGCTTAAGGAGAATCTGCTGTGTGAAGAGATAAGTGTGTTTTGGGAAAGTGAAATTATAAGATTTTTTATATTATTATTATTATTGTTTTTATATATATATATATATATATATATATATATATATATATATATATACATTTCAGGCAGATAATAGTAGTGGTTTATTATGCATAGACGATCATGGAAAACTTACATTGAGGTCTTAAAGTGCACGCTGGAATAAATATGCAAGTTTAACAGTTGTAGATGTTGATGGACTTGTTGGTCCCCCAGGAAACAATGTGTGGAAACACATAAACTACATTCAGTCAGTTGGAGGGGAAATAAACCTGTTAGGGAATAGTAATTTGTTGTTTTGCTTGTTTGTTTGTATTTTTTATTATTATTTTTTTAAATCTAGCATTTAGTATTTTATGTATTTATTTTGTAAGTTCATCGGGATTCATAGGAACCTCCAACTACTAATCTGTTTCCCTGTTTCCTCGGGGTATAAATATGAAATCACATAGAGGAAAGTTTCTTTTAGCCGCTGGCCACTGAGCTTGACGAGAAATCCCATTTTTCTCACCAACACACACGCAATGAGCAGGCTGGTAAAGGAGGCAGGAAAACAAACCAAGAAATATTAGTTGAAGGTCCGCTGCGCCCCAACCACTGTTCGATTCTTTCTACCTGCTGGCTAGCTGTTCGTCCTCCTGTCATAAACATGAACATATTGTCTAGTGAGCATTTATACCACTTTCTGTTTTCGATCATTCTTTTGCTCTTTTCTGACTAATGCAGAGCACCTTGAAAACTTTGTTTGCATGAAACATGCATGAAAGAATCAAAGCAACACTACAGAAATGTTTTGAGAAAGGAATAACATTTTAACATGACATACAACTCAAAACAGTAGATTTTACATAATACCACCACTTTAAACTGCAGAATGTTCCCTACTACTTTCTCTCAGGGAAATTGAAGTGTGGAAAACTTCCCCGTTCCCCGTTATGATGATGTTTTGCCTGGGAACCCGACTCCTTTTAATACCGGGACGTTTCGAATACAAACACAGTATTGTCACAGTCTTTCAAAATGATAATGAAAAGTTTACCCAGCCCAAAATAAATTTCTGGTCAGACATGAATCCTTTAGAATAAGAGAGTTTCAAAGATGATGCAAAGATTAATAGTTAAAGATCTGCATTTGTTTGCTCCAATCATTCTCAGAAACTGCTACCTGACCGGCAAAAGGAGGTTAGTCAAAGACTTATGGAGTTATTTCCCTACTAAATAAACCTACCCAGAATTTAAAGTTGCATTTTCCCACATTTTTTTACATCTTCACCAAGGGCACCCATAAATACATCAGTTTCTTCTTTTAGCTAAAAGCAACATTTCGAGAAAACATTATTAACCGGGGACAGGACCTCATTCTCGTATCATGCGCGAACTTTCTCCTCTCAGCAGAGCCTCCACCGGCTTATCGTCCGACTTCAGAGGCTCAGAGGTAAGCATGTATTGCACGAGCACACAGAGGCTTCTCTGGCGGGGTCGTGGCCTCAGATCTCCGCGGGGGAGAGAAGAAGGAAACGTCTCCTCCCAGCCGTCATCCCGGCCCCTCACCCCGCAGTGACTCCATTACGTTTAGCTGTAGCCTCTAGCCCCTTTCCATCCAAACTCCACATCGAGATAAGAAGAAGAAAAACTCAGACTGCCCCGAGCCGGAGCCCTCACAGGTTAGAGGGTGATGGAGCTTGATGGAAAAGCCAGTAATGACCTTCGGGATCAGCAGGCGGCGGGCCCCGGCTGAGATGCGGCCTCGGACTTTTGATCATAGGCAGCGACATCCACAACTTAAAATCTCTAAGCTGCGAAAAAGGAGAGCGCCTGAGTTTCCAGAAACCCTAAAAACAAAAAATGGTCTCTTTATTTCCAAGCAAATAAGCAAAGTTTCCTTTCCTGCTACACCTTGAAAACAGAAAAAAATTATTCCATGTTGATTTAAAAAGATATTTCAAAGAATAAAAAAAGATATTTCAAAGAATAAAAAATTCAGGTGAATTTTAAAAGCAGACATGGTCACAGGTCTGTTTATCACAAAGATAAGTTTATTACATCAATGCTTTATAATCTTTGAAACCTAAATGCTGAGTTTTCCTTCCAGCAACCAGCTCAACAGTCACAGAGGTACACTAACCCAACTCGCCAGTAGAGGGCGCTCTATGACACCTTATGAGAGGAGAAAAGGCCATTCAAGGTTACTGAACAGACCGTCATGTAGAATAGCTGTTGTAATTCCTGTGATAAAGGTTTGATGGATAGCTTAAAATTAAGCGCTGGAGTTGACGTGAGGTGACTGAAACTGAATTAAATACTGACTTTTAAGTTTTCATTTATGTCTTTATAGCAAATGTGCTGGAATGGGAGCAAAGGTTTCACCTCTCTCCTACATAATGCTTCAATAAAAGTCTCTTACCCCTTGACATTTACCAATGAGCGTGAGCTCAAAATTAAATGCATTTTTTTTATTGTACGTGATAAATAGTAACAGTAGGGTTTAACTGTTAGGTGGAGGGAAAATGATGGGTAATTTTCTAAGTTTTTTTTGTGTATAAAATCTGAAAGATTGATTTGTATTCCACTCACCTGAGTCAGTCTGTCCACTACCTGTTATATGCTGTATTAATGTGAAAAAATGTTTTGGAAAAAAAGTTAATGTTTATATCCAGCCTACTTGTAAAGGCCAACAAGTAATTTGCAAAGTTCTGCCTGACAAAATGGCTTCACTTTGAAAAAGTTAAAATAAAACCCTATTTTATAAATTATACCCATAAAAGTGAATCTAATTCAGTTTAACATTTATTCCATTGTCATCAGACTCACATCCAAATCCAGTTACAACAGTTCAGTCCAACTGTGGTAAAGTGCAGTCGGGAGTTGACAAATCATAAAGCGCTCATTAATAGGAAAAAGCCCCCAGCACAACTAGACTTGGCGTGAGTGGTCATTTGTCTAGACCCACTGGCGGTGAAGACAGTAAAAATAACATAAAACAATGAAGCACTCGACCCGGCAGAATTTCCATCAAAAGAGAGAGAGAGAGCGCAACGTTATTGGCAACAATAACTTCAAATAAATGGAGAGGAAAGATGGCAGAGTGAGAAAAGGTCACTGGTGTGTTTTCCAGCAGTCTATAGCAACATTACTAAAATCGATAGCTAAGTGTTCTGCTAGAAATATATTCATTTGACAAGTTTTGGCCATTCAGAGATTTAAATGTTGAAAGAAATTTAAAAAATTTACAATTAAAACAGCATTACCTACTTTCCCCGCATCTCTCAGAGGCATTACTAATTGTAGCAATATTACATAATGATGTGAGATGTGCAAGAATCCTATCTTGTATAAGATTAATATTAAAAATCAAAGATTAGGGCAAGAACCTTTACATTAACACTGAATGTAAAGAGAGAGAGAAGCTAAAGCAGTTCTAAGGTGATGAGGTTAAAAGATGACACGCAGCCGTTTCATGTCATGTAGGGCATCCAGTCTTTTACACCTCCAAGACGTTTCAGTGTTCTAATTCACTGATTCATTTGATCTGTGAAACCTAAATGCTGAGTTTTCCTTCCAGCAACCAATAGTTTGATCATTTTCATCTGCATAATAGAAATTTGTCCTCTTATTTAATATTTTTACAAAGTGGAGTCATATAAACTAGAGAAGTGGTCCAAACATTACGCCCTGTGAAATTCCATATCCAATTAGCCCAGCTGAGCCAAACATATCCAGCTTACTATAGCAAAAGGTGAATTTCCAAGTTTGAAGTAGGCACAATTAAAAGGAAAAAAAGGAGGAAATCTGAGTATGACATTAATCTATCCTTACCTCAAAAATCCAACCTGACTGCCTTAGACTATTCTTAGTGGATAGAATAGTCCCCCCCCCCCCCAAATCCAAAATTTGTGGGTTCAATTCCAGTTTACTCCTGCCACATGCAGGACACTTAACCCCAAGTTGCTTAGTGATCTGTGAGTAAGTCTATGAATGTGAGAGCAAATGGATGATGCAGCTCTAATGTAAAGTCCTATATAAATTTAGTCCATTTACCATTGACATTTTGGCATATGCTTGTGTTTTTATATTCTCCTTTTCTACACAGTCCATGCCTGCAGAGCGTCTCATAAAATATGTGTACATCTGTGTACTTTCCTTTGCTCTTCAGCAGTCTGTCTCCAGAGGAATTTCTCCCAGTTTGCGTAAAGCCCTTTCTCTAAAGACACCTTAATTAAGAGAAGAAAAAAAAAGAAAAGAAAACAATGTTCCAAAGAGGAGGAGGCGGCAGCACTGAAACAGAAAGGATCAGACCGTATGCTGCAGGATGTGTGGAGCGCATCTTGTGATTCTGTGTCCTGCTGCCTCTCGGATCAAGGGAGGGAGAGAGGCAGAGAGGACTGAAAAGAATAAGGGTCAGTCCGGGGATTGTCCTGAAAAGGAGAGGAGCTATTTCTGACCGGGTGTGTGAGAGGAATGAGTATCTGTTCTGTGTTTCTTTTTGTGCCGGTGTAGAAAGGACGTAATTATAACCAAGCAGCACAATGAGCAGAACCACGTTCTTTGAGGTAAGTCAGCGCACACTTTTTTTACTGACACTTCACCTTTTAAAAACAAAGAACCATGTCTTGTGAAAAAATGTAAAGGAGATTTAAGAATAAAAAAGTACATAAACACAGTTGGGCAGTTTTAGAAACGTAAGCAGTGTCAAGAAAGTGTAAACTTTATAGGCCTTCTAAACTGTGTCTTGGTTTTGCGTTCTCCATTCACATTACTCATGTCTCATGTGGTCTGATGATCACTAATGAAGAAAAAGACAAGTAATTTTCTGTAACAGCAACAAGCCTACAATCTAAAGCTAATTACAACTTTGCTCTGGGAACCTTGCCATTGCCAGGAGCTCAACAGCAAAAATGGAGAGCAAATTAACAACTATTTAAATAGTTTATTAGAGGGTGACGAAACCTGATCTCTTGAGAAACATGTCATTGTGACAGCTTTTTCAATTTTCATGAGAAAGTATTTGAACTTGTGTCCCTTCTGCTGAGGATGTAATTAAAGGAAGTACTTGTCTTCAGAACAGAGCAGGCTTGTTTGTTGTTTGAAGATGCTAAGCTAACTAATTGCTCAGCATACAAAAGACACTAGCAATGAGCGTCCTGCCATATTAAAGAGAACAGACATTTCTAAAGACAAGAAACTTTCATTTAACTACACCATAGCATTACACAAAAAGCCACTGGGTTGAAATAATTCAATAAGGCTTATCCTGCTAAACTAGTCCTGGGTCAGATATGGACCACAACAGGATTGAACTATGAATTTGACCCATATAAATTTACTTTTTAAGTTTACTTCTGAATGAAAATTGCTAACTTCTTATGTGACATTTTTGCACAGTCAAATTTTGACAGGAAAGTTTATAGTAAATAACTCTTGTTTATGTGAATGTTGAGCATAGCTAGCACTAGCCTAACAATTAAAAGGCTTTTATGTTAGACTTTGGCTAACTGGTTTTAGCCAAAGTCTCTGGCATTAGCCAGTCATTAGCATAACCAGCTGAGATTAAAATTGTTATACATTTACCATCGTGTTTTTTTTTTTTAATACAACCCAACTGATGTCTGCTATTTTTTCAGTCAAAACAACTTTCGTGCATAAGATTGACAAAATACAATCTGTTCACAACACGCTAACATAAAAATCAAATTGTCATTAAAAGTGGTTGGCGAAAGCTGACACAAACATTTCTACATAATCACTATTTAACTCAATCGCACACAAGCGCTTCTGGTTTATATTTAATGGGGCAAAAGTGAAGCATCAACAAATGTACACGCCAACATTTATAGCCCAAACTAATTTTGCATGAGTGTTCCTGTCGGCCAAACGCTTAGCTGATTTATTTTAGCCGAGCAGCATTTGTAGTA